AAGTTGGATATATTAGCAAAACTGATGTTTTGTTTTGGACTTCCTACAGTTTAGGGAAAGAAATAACAAGAGATTTTTTTTTAACTTTTATTTAATGAATATAAATTTCCAAAGTACAGCTTATGGATTACAATAGCTTCCCCCCCATAACTTCCCTCCCACCCGCAACCCTCCCCTTTCCCGCTCTCTATCCCCTTCCATTCACATCAAGATTCAGTTTTGATTCTCTTTATATACAGAAGATCAATTTAGCATATATTAAGCCAATCTTTCAACAGTTTGCACCCACACAGAAACAGAAAGTGAAAAATACTGTTTGAGTATTAGTTATAGCATTAAATCATGATGTACAGCATATTAAGGACAGAGATCCTACATGAGGAGTAAGTGCACAGTGACTCCTGTTGTTGACTTAACCAATTGACACTCTTGTTTATGGAGTCAGTAATCACCCTAGGCTCTTGTCATGAGTTGCCAAGGCTATGGAGGCCTTTTGAGTTTGCTAACTCTGATCATATTTAGACAAGGTCATAGTCAAAGTGGAAGTTCTCTCCTCCCTTCAGAGAAAGGTACCTCCTTCTTTGATGACCTGTTCTAACAAGAGAATTTAAAAGAGGAAAAATGGAGCTGGCACTGTGACATAGCAGGTAAAGCTGCCACCTGCAGTGCTGACATCCCATATAGATGCTGCTTCCAGTCCCTGCCACTCCACTTCCCACTTCCGATCCAGCTCTCTGCTATGGCCTGGGAAAGCAGTAAATCATGGCCCTTGACCTTGGTCCCCCTCACCAACGTGGTAGACCCAGAGGAAGCTCCTGGCTTCTGGCTTCAGATCAGCCCAGCTCCGGCCATAGCAGCCAACTGGTATGTGAACCAGCAGTTGGAAGACCTCTCTCTCTCTCTCTCTCTCTGCCTCTCCTTTCTCTCTGTGTAACTCTGACTCTCAAATACATAAATAAATCTTAAAAAGAGAGAGAGAGAGAGAGAGAGAGAGAGAGAGGTCAGTGGAGAAAATTTGGAAAGGCTATTTATCCAGGAATGCAGACAGCTTTGCACATTTCCCAACTCCACATAGCAAACATTATGTGTCTCAATGGCAGGAGATCTGCCAAAAGCTAAAAAATACCCACAGAGCATTCCGGCACCAGATTGAAGACATAACCTGATAGGAGTACTTCTATTAATTGTCTTTCCTGTTTCTGTTCTGTGAATACCTCTCAAAGATGTTACTTTGTCACTCTAGAAGTTATTCTAGACCAAGTAAAGTTCAATTGTGACCTAAAATTTTCCTTGGCCCCTAACCAAATTGTCCCTTTGGAAACAATTTATACCTTTATCAATGACTAAGTTCTCTAATACTAAGGTTTAATTCATGAATAGTTAGGCTTGAGCAAGACTAAACTGATTGAGTTTGAAATATATCTCTAATCTGCACAGACATGAAAATAAAACTTGAAACATATATCAATATTCCTGATCTACTTACAAAAATGTCCTTTTGTTAATAAAGAATCAATTGCTAACAGAGATCCCAAACAGGAAGTTTTCTCCCTAAGAAAGAGATTCAACTCGTATTTCTGTTACAATAGAACCCCATGCCAAATGTGAAAGCAAGCAAGAATTGTGAGAACCAATACTGTCACTGGTTATATTTCATTGAAATTATGAATGACAAACTGACCAAAAAAAAAGCTGTATAAAAAAGAGATAATCTTATATGTGCTACTATCATCAATCAGTGTATTATATAACCAATCATTCTCCACAAGTCCCTTTTCATTGAAAAGTCCCAAGCTAAGGACTTTAAAAATTGTTATGCAAAGAGGTCAAGGCAAGTTTCAATTAGGATCTTGACAAACAGAGTAACAAATCAGCAGCAAAAGATTGGTAATCCTATTATATAAAGTTGGGTGGGCACTACATGGCATGACGTTTAGAAGCACACACTGAAGTCTGAACCTGCGAACTCACACACTCTGAATTAGAGTTACAGCTCTGTCATACACATTGCTATTACATTAATGGAAATCGCAGCAATAAAATTCCAGTAGTTAGAATGTGACAAGCATTGCTTTGGCTGCTTTGCAAATATTATCTAAAACCCTGAAACATACTTTACACATGTTGTTTTCTTTATCTGTTATGTTCCCTAACACACATATCACACTATTTACATTTAAGGGTCGCAACCTCTGGAATGCAATAAATCTACACGTTGTGACAGCTTCTTCATTTTTCATCCTGCTTATTAATAACTTTCAATATTAATAATCCTGTGGTTCTTGATACTTATTCAAAGAAGAATTCAGAATACTGGTTCATATAGATTGGACAATATGGTATATTTTTAAGCTTTATTCAGTGAGAGGAATGCACAGTAAAGTGAGGGCTGAATTTAGGGAAGAGAGAAGTCTAGAAGCTAAATTGTGTCCTTATCAGGCAGAGAAGACCATAAGACACATGGAGCAAGCATGCAGGCAAGAAAACAAAGGCAAGGCAAAGGCCAAAAGGCCTCACCCCAGGAGGTGCAGTGCAAGAAAGGTGCAACAAGGAAACAAGGGAAGGGCCCAAGGTGCTCCAGGCCTTTTATCTACTCCTAAAGGGGAGTGGTTACGTAGTCTGATTGGCAGGTGGTCATCCAGGTGCGATCAGGTAGGGGCATGAGATCACCCCTCCTATGAGCTTACAAATCTAATCAATTTTATCCTATCTGCATGCATCGCTTCTACTACAATGCACTACCATTATTAATTATTCCCTCCTAATGCACTCTGATAATATACTTTACATAGTTCTATTGTTTCATTTATTCACAGCCCATACACCTGAGAGAAATAAGAACTTCACAATACACCCTGTAAAAGTTTCCCTCCTATTGTTCCTCTCTTTTTATTCCAGGTATTTCAGACCTTGAAAAATGTTGGTCTATTGAAAATGAGGTACGTGACTGTGAATTCCAATTGAAAACACATAAGCAGAACAGATCTGGGACTGTATAATATAGTTCACAATGGTTCGAAGTTGTAAAGAAGCACAGTAAATACTCGCACATTGTTCAGTAAGAGCATTGGCGCAAACAATCCTGAGAAGAGGGACATCAACAGCAGAAAGAACTAGGTAATGTTTTTCAGATAGGGCAGAGATACTTTGTCATTAAACTGATGATTTAGAAAATGGATGTTAGCAAATTCACCGCAAGTAAAACTTGCAACTGGAGAATCAAGACAAAAAATGACTGAAATCCCTGTGAACAAAAGGAGATCTTCAGAGAAGGATGGTGAATTGAAAATCAAAATAACATCCCTCTACATAATACTGGCTTACTCAAATGTGTGGGCAAAAAGTCTTCTGTTTATGGTGTTTTTTTTTAAAAAATCTTATTACATTATGAATAAATGTTATCCCAGCTGAAGCAATACTTTAAGTATTTACCATAACAGAAATCGACAGCTCCTTGTGGGTTTGGATAGTGCTGGGGAAAAATCATTGATTCATTTTCTCCTATCATTTTTTGTCCACTGTGAGGTAGCCACAATTTTAGGTACTGTAGATACAGGAAATGAATGTTTGCAGATTCTAAGGAAAACGTGAAATAGTCCCTGTCTTCATGGAATTTATAGTGATGGGAAATGACAAATGCCATGATTACAATGAGGTGAGAGCAGGAGAGGGAAGTCAACTGATAAAAGGACAGCACACACTGACGGGCTTTTGAGTGGTAGCCTGAAGATGGGAGGCAGCACGCTGTGCAGATCTCTGGGCAGCCACTACAGAGCCACAGGGTCTCCAGCCAAGACATTTGATTCCAGAGACCAGGATCCTAGTCAGCACTCTACACTCCCTTATCTGACTGCAACAAGGATTCAAACAGACAGTAGATGCAAGGCAATCATCAGGGAGCCCCCAAAAATATTATCATCATCAGAAAAAAAAAACATATAAATGCTTATATAGACCGAAGTATACATAGACATTTTACCCTTAGTAAAATAATACTGGTCCTTTACATCATTATTGAAAATGGGGAAGAATCATAAAATGGTGACTTACTAATAATCCACCGAAGTAGCATGTCAAACGCAAACACATTTGACTCTGAAAATATTGACAGGAAGTTTCCAATAAGACGCTATGACTTGGGGATACAAATAAGAGTCCAGAAACAGAGGAAGAGCCAATAGGTCCTCCTCAGCAGTCATTTTTTGAGTTTTACTGCCAGAATATTTTGTACAACTTTGCTTTATTGTGAGTTTTGATAAAATGCAGATTAAAAGTCTATGTTGGGTAAAGTATAATTAAAATTTTTATCCTTATTTGATAAAATATAAATAAAAGTCTGGATAAAATGTTAAGTACAAACCCTACTCTTTATTTGAAGAATCTCTCTCTTTTGAAACTGCCCACACCTATCAATGCCCTCAACACTTTCCAGAAACAAGTAGCAGATGTGCTATGCTAACCATGTTTGTAACACCTCATCAGTTGCAAAATGCTTTGGTGGCGCAGCCTTTCCTGACAGTGGTCAAATGATTGGCCGTGAATTCATACTTACAGGGTGGGCAGGCAACCTTTTGGATTGTTATGGGTATAACTCATAGGCAAACTCAAATGAGCTCAGGGGAACTACATAGTCATGAATATCCTAGACTAGTTCAACCAAGTGTCAATTTCACTATTTGACAGAGGAAGTTAAGAATTGTGCTGGTCACTAGCCTCTATAAATTGCGTTTCTGGGTCAACACTTTCAGGTAATGGCCCTCATCAGCTTCTATCTATAGAATTCAAATACAACATCCATCATGTCAGCACTCTGTCACCAAATACATCCCTGAGCAATGTCTTGTGCTTCCCAAGAGCCATTCCCCTCCCAAGAAACTCAAAGAGCTCCTAGAATGAGTGGATCATGCCAACTTGCAATCTTTTATCTTCCCATTATCTTCATGTTAAGAGCCATATCAACCTACTTTACTTTTCAAGGTTTCTCCTTCTCTGAGACTTACAGAAAGTTACAGAGATTTCAGAAATCTTGCCAGGCTGTTGCATTCTCTCTCTCTCTCTCTTGTTGGTAGAGCCTATTTAATGGAAAACCCAAGGATTTGTATCACCCATTTAGTCTTAAATGAATTCTCTAGGTTACAATATAAGTACAATTTAAAATAAATGTCACATTTAATTTACACACAAACAAATCCATGTAACTGCTACTATTATCATTTCCTTCTAATAATAAGACAGTTTTTTAAAAGTAACTAAATTTAAAACCCTTGTTTACTGTATCTGTTATTCTTACTTATGGCATATGAGAACATACAACAATTATGAATAAGAAATATCAAGAATTCAGAAAATGATCTTATCTAATACTAGGGCTGCTATCAGTGCAAGTCAGGGGTGAGTATACTTTTTCTCTCAGAGCCCAGCTTTTTGTTTTTTCATAGCTTGATTCCAATTATCTGCCTTTTCCTTTTTTTCTCCTATTCACAGACATGTTTTTGACTGGCATAATCACCTCCAACAAAAGAGATCTCCCTTTCAGTTATTCTGTGTTGCTGCCTGTAAAAGTCCCCACCAACTATTGCTTCAATTTCATGCTGGGAGATTGTTAATGGAAGGAGATTAAAGCAATGCTGAGCTCTGATTTTTTAATGTTTGAATTAATTTGCTATGTATTTACTCAAAACCATGTCAACAGTGCCATTGTGCCTTTAACAACTTTGGCAATTATAAAATATTACTAGAAATTCCATATTTTATGCAATAATGATATTTAGATTTCAAGAAATACCTGAAGATATTCTAATTAATATAACCTGAAGATAAAAATACACCAAAATACAAATGTAAAATGTAAACTCATATCTGTGTTTGCAGCAAAGGCGTGGTTCTCAGACCTACAAACCTAGTGCCTACTTTTATGAAAATTAAAATGTTTTAAAATGCCCCTTTTCCTTCTTGAAATGTATTCTTCTCAACCAGAGTCTAGCTTCAGCCCTATACTCCAAAAAACTCCAGACATTCATTTTCCTATACAGTAGCCACAAGACATTTGTTATCTATTGTATCCCTGAATATGGTTAGGGTGATTTAGAAATTTGTTTCTTTTTATTATTGCAATCTTAAAATGGACTTCATTCAACAGCTGCAAAATTTTAAATGTTTGGAACAATTTGAGTATATAAGTCAATGGCAAATATTATATAATCCAAATGTAATCAAGAATTTCCAGTGAGAGTTTAGTTTTCTAGTTATATATGCCATGAAGATAAAACATATGCCTGGGTTTGAAGGTTAACAATAAAGAAAAATTAAATATATTAATATTTATAATATTGATTATATATTGAAACAGTTGATTTGAATATATTAGATAAGTAAAATCTGTTATTAAAATTGACTTTGTTGGTCTTTTTGTTTTTCATGTGGTTATTACAACATTTTAGGTTATAAGTATGACCTGCATTACATTTTTAGAGACAGTGTTTTAGAGAAAGACTATCTGATAAAATTTGTATCAGGGAAATGTGCAATTCCTACACTGTCTAATATAAAGCACTGCCACATGTGGCCTTCCACCCATGAGCTATACCTAATGAGACCAAGGAAGTGGTCTAAATATAAATAATATAAAAAGCCACTGTTAAGGTGGATTTGTTTTCTGAGAGGAGGAGCATGGTGGGAGCAAGAGGCGTGGAGTCACCACACAGACCTGGGAGTCGGGTGAAAGCAGGCCTAAGGCGAGCAGCCCGCAGTTGGTACAGCAGCTTCTATAGCCAAGACAGTCAATCTGGTCAAGGGGCGGTCTTTGCCCTAACCAATCACAGCTTGTTGCCTGGCAGGCTCCGAAGCCATCCAATCACAGCCTGTTGCCAGACAGGTTCCGTTTGCCATGGGGTTTCCAAAGCCATTCCTGAGTAACTGACACTCACATGCCAGTGGCCATCTTGGCATGGCCTTCTCATTCTACCACAAGCCACCTGTAGCTTGTGGCTGCCATATTAGCACAGCCAGATAATTATCCTACATATAGAACTAGTCACCTATAAGGCTCGTGTTTTCACATCACTAGCAGCCAGTCTCTGGCTGAGGACTTTTTTTGCTTTTTGTTTTTTGTTTGTTTGTTTTTGTTTTTTATTTGTTTGTTTGTTTTTGATAAGCAGTGGAAGCTCCTATTTCAGACAAAGGCAATTCTCTGGAGGGATTGAATAGTTAGCAGTCTACTATCACAGTAAGCAGGATATGGAGCTATAGGTCAATTAAAGGGTAGATAGCCAGGGTTTGTCCATTGTAGGAAGAAACATGTATTAAAAGAATACATATTTCAATATATAAATTCCAAGGCACAACTAGATTTCAAACATAATAAAATATTTATATATTTGAAAAGATTCATAATGACAAGTACTGACATATGATAATAGAGGTGAATTTATATTGGTTCAAATACTGCAAACATTATTGCTTTCAGTAGCAAGGTTTTCTAAAACATAGTTAAGTCAGGAAAATTCTGACTAAAAACACAGTCTCCTAGAAACACAATAATTAAATTTTTAAAAATTCAGTCTACATTAAAACTGTACAAACTGTGCTTACAAATAAAACACAGTTTGGTTCTAGGATTAGATTATGAATAACAAGACTTACTCCTTTCTTTAGAGTATCTAGAGAAATAGTTGGAAGTTGGGAAGAACTTTGGAGTATTCATTTCGGGATTCTGTCTCCATATTGATGAATAGCTCCCCTGACTCAGACAAAATCCAATAGTACTCTCTTCCAATTATTGGGATAGACAAATTCTCCATTCAGAAAAACCCACTTCCACAATCCTGAAAGTTTCAAAATGTTCCCAGACTACTGTAAAATCTGCTGAGAATCATAGGCAAATTAACCTTCAGTGACTGAGACTGGGGCATAGTGTTTTTCATTATGGAATATTCTGCATTCTGCAGTTAAATTTCAGGTCAATGCAAAGATTCTGACACACACACACACACACACACACACACTATTGACACACAGATATTGAAAAGACTGTTGGCTAGTGCCCTGGCTCACTTGGTTAATCCTCTGCCTGTGGTGCAGGAACCCCGGGATCTAGTCCCAGTTGGGCTGCCGGGTACTAGTCCTGGTTGCTCCTCTTCCAGTCCAGCTCTCTGCTGTGGCCTGGAAGGGCAGAGGAGATGGCCCAAGTACTTGGGCCCCTGCACCCACATGGGAGACTGGGAGGAAGTACCCGGCTCCTGGCTTCGGATAGGTGCAGCGCCAGCCGTAGTGGCCATTAGGGGAGTGAACCAACAGAAGGAAGACCTTTCTCTCTGTGTCTCTCTCACTGTCTATAAATCTCTCTCTGTCTCTCTCTCTCTCACTGTCTAACTCTGCCTGGCAAAAAATAAAAAAAATAAAAGATTGCTAGCAAAAGAATGGGATTAATATAATAATATAAAGGTCTGCAAAATATCTCATATCACTAATAAGTAGATACCTGTTATTTGATCAATGCAAAGTGGAATATAAAGTTCAATTTATATTTATAACATAATTGTGTACTTCATGTTTCTGAATATTCCAGACAGTACTTAAGAAAAGTGTCAATTAGAGTCTAACAGTTTTCTATCATTAGGGGCAGAAATTACAGTAATTGGGGGTAAAGATCAAAATCAATTTAAAGAGATATTTTTCTTACTACACCATATTTATAAACTGAATTACAATTGTTGGCCTCTCTTGGACCCAGGTTTATAGGCGTTTCGACTGGCCCTTCATTCAAGAATTACAAGAATGCAAATGTTTCTTATATTGGCCACTTATACTACATTTTTTAAAAGTGCCTATATAAGGGGCCAGCACTGTGGCATAGCAGCACTGGTGTTCCAGTTGCTCTGTTTCCAATCCAGTGTCCTACTAATTCACTTGGGAAAGCAGCAGAGGATGGTCCAATGCTTCGGCCCTGCACCCATGTGGGAGACCCAGAAGAACCTCCTGGTTCTTGGCTATGGATTGGCCCAGTTCCAGCTGTGTGACCATCTGGGGAGTGAAACCAGCAGATGGAAAATCCCGTGCTCTGTCTCTGTCTCTGTCTCTCTTGCTCTCTGTAACTCTGCCTTTCAAATTAATAAATATCTTGAAAAAAGTAAAAATAAAAACATTGCCTACATGAAACTTTAAGCATCTTAGAATGAAAAACTTTAAAACTCTGCAGTCTTCTACCCTTGAGTTTGTCCTGAAAGAAAACAGAGAGCAAATAGGGCAGGCATGGAAGGGAAGCAAGCTTGCCATCTCATTAGGCAGATGATTGAAGAAAAAGGTATTGGAATATGTCCATCACGCCTAACTGCCTTCACAGACTGTTTATACTTGCCCTCCAACCCAGACATGCTGAAAAAGGCTCTTAGCTACTGCATAAATTATTTTTCCTCGGAAAGAAGCAAAAATGAACTGAGGAATCTCAGCAGGCAGATGTATCCAAGAGAAAATTAGATTTATGGGGAAATAATTGTTACTAATCATTATAATTACTATTCATATAAAAAGATATCCTTCATTAAAATCAACTCCTTTTCTTATGCTGTGAACTTCATCATTTGCTGTACCTTCTTGAAATACATTTCAACAATTTCATTCAGACACCCACAATCATTAACTTATTGCTCTCCTTTCTGTCCTCCCCTTCCAATTTTTTTCTTTATATTCTTTCCAGATTTTTTCTTAAAATTACTCTTTAATTCCTCCATTGTAAAAAAATGTGCAATGTGCATCATAGCAAGTTGAAATCAACTGGTTGGCTTCAAAGTTATTAACAATTTTCTTTAATCAATACTTTCCACTATTTTTTAAGTGCTGACTTTCCATTTTTCTGAAGTTTGCTCAATGTAGTTTCTGAATCCAAATGAGGCAACATCCAAGGCAATAGAGAAATATTCCGGGTCTTCTACTTAGTTGGAAATCTAGTGTCAAAGCAGTTCATTGTTTTGCTCCCAAATTATAATATCATGAATATTTTTCTATTCCTTATCTTTTGACCTGAGGTACCTGGAATAACCTGCTTTGCCACTTGTCTTCGGAATCTTTACTTCACTTTTTGTTAGTGCTCTGAAGGATAAATACAATGTACAATTCAGCTGAAATATTGATATTCCCTGGTGGCATGGGTGTGAAATTATTCAAATGCAAAGATATTGGGCTGAATTTCATAAGATGAGTGTTCAAAAGGAGATATTTCGGAACAAACATTTGGAAGTCAAAGGTTAACACAGCAGAAAAGTAAAGGGTTACAACATTTCAAAATAGTTTAAGAAAATGTTATGAATATCTTCCTTAGTAAAAAACTTAAAATGCATAAATATACTTTCTTATTCTGAAACTAGTCTGGACACATCAACTGCCCTCACCCTGACAGCATCCAGAAAAGCTTCATAAAATCTAAATTCCTTGAATTAGAGTAGTTTTTTTTTTTCCTCCTTGAACTTCTCCAAGGTTCCAAAGAGATACAATTGGTGTAAAAGAAATCCCAGGACCTGTTAGACATTCCAAATCTGCTGAATTTTAGTGTCTTTACTTACACTGTTTTCCTCTAGCTATTCTAATTATTCCTGTTACTCATAATTACCAACTCAAGTCCTACAAATAATTGAAAGATCAACTCAGTTCTGCCTTTTTTTCTTATCAGCTTCTACTAAGAGTGATAATTTTATTGTCAGAAATAGAAACCAAGATATGTAGAAATGTTTGTTTATGTATCTGTTTTGTGCTTCAACCTAATGGGTATCTATTATCAAAAATAGAAAACAAAATTCCATAAGGGATTTAAACTGAAAGATTAAAGAGAAGGCTACTCCTTTACTTTGAAAATTTATGTAGCCTTTTTAGTATATAGTAATTTATCTAATGCTTCTCCCTAAACCCTGAAGCATAACCTCTAAATCCTTGAAGTTCCCTATTGGGGATATGTCTTTGTTATACATGGCTGGCCCCTGAACCATACGTGGATTTGTTAGGAGATAATTCAAGATAGGGGTGGGTTGTGCCAGAAGGATGCACCATATGGTTAGAGAGTTGGTGTTTTGAGCAACTTTCTATGAGCCAAACCTCTCAATCTCTGAGAAGGATAAAGGTCTGGAGGTTGAATTCAATTCTGGTGTCAAAGAGTCAACCAACAACTCCACTGAAGCCCAGAAAAAACTCTAGACCTTGAACTCAATGGGGATTCCTGGTGATGAACACACTGTTGATGTGCTGGGAAGCTGATGCATCCTGATTCCAAAATAAGAGGGCACTGAAGTGTGCATGCATTGTGGGCCTTCCCAGGCTTGGACTTACATTTATTCAATTAGCTAATACAATGTGTAACAAAAAGGTTGTCATACTTATTGTGCTGTACTGATTCCTGTGAGTGAGTCTAATAATGAATTATCAACTACAAGGGTCTGGGTCATTTTTGAGAATTTTCAAAATTATAACCAGTTAGAAGTATTGGTAGTCTGAGAATACCTAAAGTACAGCAGGTATCAAAAGTGAAGGTAGTCTCACTGAGAACCGCCCCTTACTCACGAGGTCTGTGCCAACTTCAGGTCCTAAGTACTAGCACTGAATTGCGGTACAATAGTTACTGCTGCAATACCTTCATTTCCTTGCAGATCTGATTTCTCTGCCTGCATATCACTTCCTGATTCTCCCATAGATTTGGTATGCATGAAGGCTTGACTAAAGGTACCCTCATAAGAGTTTAGCCTTCCTTGTTGAAGCATTAAGATTAGTAGAGCCAAC